TTTTTCCTGTAAAAATACAGAGAAAAAAAATACATATTTTTAAATACAGAGCAGCTACATTAAAATTTGAAAACAATCTGGCAATTCATTCTTCAACTGCAAAGTGCTAGACCAAAATGAAATGTAAAAATTGTGCCAACTATCAGCTGGTGTGATTTTTTTCCCTTCAGTATCCGATTTTTGTTACACTAATTTAATCCTTTATTAATTTTGTACACATTAAAAAATGGAATATAAGCCCTATCTTTTTCCTAAAAACTGTATGGATACCTCGAAAAACTAAGTATAGAGCATAAAACCTGTTTATCCATTAAAGAAATCTTTTTGAAACTACTGTGTATGTAACTGTGAGTAAAAAGGCTCACGTATCCCAAATACTGCAAAACCATCAGCATGTTCCAAAGACAGAAGATTAAAGTCTAACTCCTACTTCTTAGATAACATGTTATCTCTCAAAATCTGTTGTGATTCCTTCCAGACTATGGAAACTGCAAATCTTCTGTGCTTCAGAAAGCACTTTAGCATGAACTTAAAACAGTAAATCAAGGAATCTCTGTGCTAAAGAAGATACTGAAATATGAGTCAGCACACAGAAAAGTTTTGATTTTGTTTTAAAATTAAGCTATTTATAAAACTGCCAGTGTCACACACATCTTGTGCCCAAAAGTCTCATCTTCAGCTGCTATTGACTGCTACAATAATAAAGTATCAAGATGATTCAGGTATCAGAGTCATGTAAGTACTCAAGAATTTAAAAGTAATAAATGTAAGTTTCATTAAGTTGCAAGGAAATCTTGTAAATATGAACTTTTACTGAAATACTTGGAGGGTGAGGAGAGAAAAAAAAAAATAATTAAAAAATGTCACTACTTATAGGCCAAACCAGCACAATTGTTTGACTGTATCAAATTAATACTTCCCTTACAGGTGGAACTGATATTATCTGTAGTAAAATAATTCACGTAAACATATGTTGTCATCTGACTGAGTGAAAAAAATTTAGTCTAGCAACGCAAAATATAGCAAAATGATAAATAAAGGTATTCACTCCAGCAGGGTGCATCTACACAGTTTTATTTGTTATGGATTATTAATGTTTTCCAAAACAAATTTGTGAAAAACAACAAGTTATTCTTTTTAAAATTAATCAGTTTTAAGCTAATTTGCACTTATGAAATAATTCTTACAAATCTAAACTTAAACTATTTTAATTGCATACTATTTGTATTATTAAGGTCAGTCCTGAGTCCTCAGATTTAACTACAAAAACAGTTATCTTTTAGATGACATATGGCAAGATTTCCAACTCTTTTCAGCTTTGTAAATTTACATCTGCCTGTTCATTCAAGATGGTAAGCATACATGTGTTGACAAACAGACATTAGCAGATGGCAAAAAGCAAATGCTCAATGTGAAGCACTGGGGATCATTTGAAGGCGGCTTGGACTCAGACATGTGCCATTTTTGTTTTAACAGCAGAGTTATTTTAAAAAATAAATTCCACCATCTATTATGCTTGATGGTAATGAATATCTGTGATCAGAATATTCACGATTACAGCATGAATGTCATATTAATTGCAACTGGTATCCAAGATCCAAGTTCCTTTGTAAACTTTTGGATTTTTGGGTAATTATCACAGCACAGTTATTTAGGAGGTTAATTTCTTCTCCTGTATGAGTCAGATAACTTTCTGTACTGACCATATAATTTCTCATGAAATCTTTCAATAGGCAATACATGGCTGTGCTCATCTGCTATTCCAGCTTCTAAACCAGACTTACTCAGATAATCGACTAGTATCACAGTCCATAAAAGCACCTGCAGGTAGACCTATTCTCTGCCCACACCAATACTACTGCTATTTCCACCATTTCCAACATATTTAGAAAACCAAAATGAGCACTTTGTCAGGTCGAGGTGTGAAGCTATCAAGAGCTTTAAGTACAGGCTTTACTTGGGGAGCAAAGGAGTTACTTCATATGAATAGGGCACAACAGGTAAGATGAAATACCCACCCAGTGCTATGCTTTTACTAACACTGAACAGTGGATACCTAGGGAATAGTATGAGGAAAGGATGAACATACAACTCCCTTATATATTCCACCACTATTCAGAAGCCCATCGTTCATAGATTGCTGAATCAAAGAGAGTATTTTCTGTGTTAACATGCCATGGCAGACTTTTTTTCATGAACATCTAACAACCTTTTCAACCATGGAACCCCTGGGAATCAACATCATCTGTGGCAATGACTTTCATACTTTTATACTGTAATTATGTACTATATGGACACCTTTCAGTTAAGGTATGTAGTGTAGTCTCTAGTCACTCCTTTATCCAATTAGTTTTTAAGGTGCATTAAAATAATTTAATTTTTTTTTAATTACTACTATGCTTTAACAGACTGTAAAATAGATGGTGTAGCAGTAAGTGGACAAGTAAGTTGAGCTTGTAACAGCTCAGCTAAAAGAGGAAGATTAATAGAGACAAGATGTATAGTAACAACAACTGGCAAACAGCAGATCTGCTGTGGAGAAAACACCTACAAGTAAACATCAGTGTGGCTTTTTAGTCAGGGAGATCATCACACACAGCAAAAGAATTCTGAATCAAACAGCAAAAAAAGGAAAGCCAGAAAGGATCTTCATTTTCCCTAGCATTTCTCACTGACTTTTCTAATAAAGAGCACCAAGCAATGAGTTTGAAAAAACACAGGCTCTAAAGAAAAGCTTGGATATTAAACCAATATTTTAATATTCTAAAACTACAGTTACCAGACAGTTGTAAATTCCAGCAATTGTCACTTCATACACTTCAAAAAAATTACATGAAAGTACTGCACTGTAACACAAAGGGTCAGTTTCATTTAAAAACTGATACAGGAATGGCACAGTGTGGGTTCAGAGATTTATTTTAATTCCATTATTCTACATAGAGCCATAGTGAGAGAAAAAATCTATTAATTCCATTACAGTATTGAGTTTAAATCGGCCCCCTATCTGAAGGGAAGAGGTATTTTACACTGTGGTCCCCCATATTGTTTTCATTAAGGACAAATAGATAATTATTAATATTTTATTCACATTTTACTAGTAATTCAGCAAAACAAAAACATCAGGAGGTCCAAGGAAAGAACTATTTCTATTAAAAGCAGTTCTAAGAAGCTTGGTTTCCAAAGTGCTCTCCTGTATTGATTCTTCTAATATTAATAGTGAGGACCAAGGGATTTCTGTCCTACATCTGCATGCAAACACCCTGTAAAGTGTTGAACCTTAAGACTCTAAGTACACAGATCAGTTTCAGACAAAGAAATGAGTTAGCAGGAAGCACTGAGAAGGAGTAGAGGTACAGTAGGATTGCAAATTCAACTGAAGAGTATAAAAATGATTAAATTTGGAACATACTCTTGAAATGACCTTTAAAACAGTTTTTGCAGGAGCTAGAGAAACCAAACCAAACCAAACTCAACCAAACAACAGCCCCCCTACACAAGCAAACAAAAACCACCAAAATACCAAACCACTAATTTATTCCAACTCTAACAAAACTCAAGTCTTCCACTGACTGGCATTCTCTTTACCTCACTTAAAACTCCCAACTTCTTAACACGTTAATTCTGACACCTCAAAGCAAGCAAGATGAGCTGTGCATGTGCTCTTTAATGCCCTGCCAATACTTAGAATCTGACTAGCAGCTACCTAAAGGAATATGTAAAAACTGACTTCTGCTCACCTTCTTCCTTCTTCTCTAAAAGTTGTCAGTTTTCAAGAAATTTAGAGAAAACAGAATTACCAAGGTAAATAAATTCCTATCTAATTTGGCTGAAAACAGTCAAGAGTATGAAAACCCACACACCCTATTTTCTTCAGAAATCCAGGGCAAAGCAGCTTTTGAGCAAAAAGCCTGAATTCTGGAAAAGGAGTAAAACACAAGCATAACCACATGAAGTTATTTGGTAAAGGTCTTATATTTTTATACACATATACCAGAAGTACAGGAAAAATTAAGAGAATTCATAGGACATCAAGTCTTAACACATCACCAAAAACATAACCAGACAAAAATGCACCAGCAACTTTCAAATAAAATGGATATTAAACCATTTTCCTCCCATGCAGTTTCCTTTTAATAACTGCAGACTATTAAAAATAAATTATTTCTACTTTTTGCATCTGATCCTTATATATTCAAGGGTTGCATTGAGAACAGTGTAACTGCACACATGACAGTAAATACCCGAAGCATCAATTAAAAAGTTTCATTACTATGTGCTACAAACAATTACCTTTTTGACTTTTGTGCCTGATTATCCAGCATGTGGTGAACAAGGATGTTGTTCAGTTCATTAATGCAAACAGCCGGAGAGAGTTGGGGCTGTTCAGCCTGGAAGAGAAGGCTCCAGAGAGACCTTAAAGTACCTTCCAGTACCTGAAGGGGCTACAGAAAAGCTGGAGAGAGGCTTTTCACCAGAGGGGGCAGTGATAGGACAAGGGGTAACAGTTTTAAACTGAAAGAGGGGAGATTTAGGTTAGACATCAGGAAGAAATTCTTCATCATGAGGGCAGTAAGGTGCTGGAATAGGTTGTCTAGAGACATTGTTGATCCTCCCTCCCTGGAGGTGTTTAAGGCCAGGTTGGATGAGGCTTTGTGCAGCCTGGTCTGTTGTGAGGTGTCCCTGCTCATAGCAGGGAGGTTGGAATCTGATGATCTTTAAGGTTCCTTCCAACCTTAACCATTCAATGTTTCATTCTACGGATGTTTATCTAAGCTGGGAGACATATCAGTGTTTTGGAACCAGAACACAACAACACCCCTTTGCAAATGCTAACTCATAAGCTTCAGATGGTTTTTTTTCACATTTAAACCAGATGCAGTGAGCTGATACTCCAAACACACTCTGATTAATCATATTTATATACAAAAAAAAATGTAAAAGCAAACCCTGCAATTATCCAGTTTATTTTTACACATCTTAAATAACAAAATCATACTCACCAGCAAAGCAAGTTTTTGGTACTTTCGCTTCAATTCTGCCAGACTGTCCGATGGCTTCGCATCCAGGATTTTGTACCAGTCCTTTTGTGTAATCCTTCCAAAGGCCATAGTCTGACCAGCTCTGGAATTCCTTTATTAGCACTGTGCGAAAAAATTAAAACAATATAATTACAATTTGAAAGAAAAACAGTTAACAAGAGTAAAAACGAGGACATGTGACAAGCTTTAGGATCACAAAACAGATGGCAGCAGATCAAGCACATCTACATCCCTCCCTAAGAAGCACAGTGCAAACAAACAGGTTAATTCACAGGGCCATTCCACCCCATAGGTTGTCATACCTGAAGTGATTTAAGTTACACTGTTTCCTGTCCCAACTCCTTAGTATATCATGTTTCAGCAGCTGTCCATGTGCCTTTAAAATCATTTTGCATTTTTAACTGTGTGAACCATTATGAACCTACCCATGTTACTCACACACTTCTTATATATGCACTTAGGAAAACATACACTGTTTATTTTGAAGCAATACTATACTTAATACATGAAAAAAAATGAAGTACATAAGTGTGACATTTTGCCAACTCAGGAAGGAGATACAGGCAGGAACACAAAGAGTTATGGCTTGTTTTTTGCACAATGATATTCAAGGTATAGACCCTGCTGGATATGAAGGGCTAACTTTTTAAATATTAAAGTAGAAGAGCAAATAAAAGCAAAAAAAAATAATAAATTAAAATCAATAAAAGCATATAGAGTCAGCACAGGTTCCTAACTAGTTGGGTGCTTTTTATTTTTGGCCATCTAGCATCAAGCTGATGACCCAGAATGAAAAAAACAAACAGGAGAATAAAATGCCAGGAAGAGCATAGAAATACTCAAGCTTCAAACATATTCTCAGGTGTGCTGAAAGCCCAAGCTTGCAGTAGCTGGCTCATCACTAACTTTCGGGTAAGAAAGAGCACTGTGAGTAGGAAGGAGCTTCACAGGTTTCCTAAGCTGCCTTTTTATTGTCGAAAGAATGAAAAAGGATTATTTATTTTCTTTCCCACTTCAGCACTAAAACTCGTTTCTGAAGACCCTCAGACTAAATCATTTTTTCACGGGGAAGAAAAACACGTATTTCAAACTTGGCAGAGCTACAACCGTGGCTCCCCCCGCCCTCCCTGTGGGTAAGGGCCACGCAGGCCTTCCCCACCCTCCCTTCCCACAGCCGCTTCCCACCCAGGCCACCCTCTCCCTAGGGAACCCACCAGGGTCTTTAAAAACACGCGGAACCCCCCGGGACGCGCTCCCTCAGCCCACCCGCCCAGGATGAGGAGCCACAGCGGACCCACCCCATAGCAAC